TTACTGTTGGGCTCCTAGAGCTGCAACAAAATTTTCTCCTTTGGCAGATGCTGAAATCAGCATCCAGAGGAAGAAACTGGGGAGGGAGTGTGGGAGAAAAAACCTGAACCGAGGTGGAAGACGCTTTTAATATATCCCCACTTGTTTGTCTCTCTCCCGCCGTCATCCCCTGTGCCTGAAGCATCTAGCACCATCCTATCAACCGCGTTCCATTTCTCTCCCCCGAAGAAAAATCGCTTCTGATGTGATAACTTAAGTTGACTTATTCCATTCCATTAAAAATGGGATTAGACTTACAATTCCCCAGAGCTAGAGCTGGCAGCCATTTGTTGCTGAGCATCCCACAAAACCAAGCTCAAATGTTTAAAAAGAAGAAAGAAAACAGATGGAAAAGAGAGATTTAGGAGTGTTATTTTAAAGTTTATGTGAGTAAAATCTATTCTCTTGTTAAAAGGAAAATAGGTGAAAAATATGAGTGAAAGTTCACTGCAAGAGGATAGGCATTAGATTTTTAACTAGTTGACACTTTTAGAAATGTAAATGAGTTATTTAAATAATATTTAAAGAATATATTTAAAGATTTTAAATTACTCATAAAATGAGTAATTTAAAAAATTAAATATAAAATCTTGTACTCATTTCCTAATGAGTCTTCATTTCGACCCCAATTCATGAATCTGCTCATCAACAATATTTATAAAGGGGCTATCCTGCCACACACTAAAATCCATTAGAAATTATTAAATAGGGCATTAGTAGGAGGTGAATCATAATAATAATAATAATCTTCATATAAAACAGTAGGTAACTTGATTGAGTGCTGATATGACAGGTCCTTTTATCATCACCTTTAGATACTCTTATTCTCTCCATTTTTAGATGAAGAAATTCCAGTTAACAGGGATAACTAACATCATATGGCACACAAATAATCTATTTGCTTGACTTTAAAATCTAACTTGCCCCAGGGTGCCTTGGTGGCTTAGTCAGTTAAGCATCCGACTTCGGCTCAGGTCATGACCTCACAGTTTATGAGTTCAAGCCCCGTATCTGGCTCTGTGCTAACAGCTCAAAGCCTGGAGCCTGCTTTTGATTCTGTGCCTTCTTCTCTCTCTGCCCCTGCCCTGCTCACGCTCTGTCTCTCAAAAATAAATGAACATTAAAGAAAAAAAAAACTTTAAATCTAATTTACCCAATGTCAAAGTTACTAATATCTAATATCAGAGGATCACATGTATCAACATTAAATTTCTATGCTTGAAGGGTTTTGAGTGTTTATTTCTCTCACAGAAAGAGTTTGCAATCAGCCTACATCCACCCAAATTCCTCAAATTTACTTCCCAGAAGTGCCCTAAATTACAGTTTCTTAGTATATGTAACATTCATGCAAATAACTAAATGTCACTTACTTATCAGCTGTCAGTATTCTTTAGTACCCAAGGGTTGTTAGTGGTGTAGGACACCAGTACAAGGAATAAAAGTCGAATTTCAAAAAGATGTTGGGAAAACAAAGTGATTAGATAGCAAAGCATTTGCTTTCTTTTATTATTCACCACTTATAGCTATAGACTCTCATTTTTTTTTTTAAATTCTGTGTGCATGAGTTGGGGTGTGGGGTTGGGAGAGGAAGATTGAACAATAACAGATTTGCGGAGTGATCATTTGCTGAGTTTTACGTGAGTACCTGTGGGTTTTGTGTGATTAAGTGGAGAAATGGAATATATTGGTATGAGTATATTCCAAGTTAACCATTTTCTAGAATGCTCTAGATTGTTCCCATTTCTTCTGTGGCCTGGGTAAGCGTTGTCAACGGTTAAAAATAAATGACAGTATTTGCCATGGTTAATTTATATATTGGCCGTGGTGAATATATTTATATTAATTTATTAATTATTTTATAATTGTTTTGCATTTTTTTCAAAAAGGATTTGGAAAAACAAAAGAGAAAACAAAGACTTGGCCCTTCTAAATTCACTCAGATGTTGAACTTCAAATACAGTTTTTTTGAGGATTACTACCTATTCTACCACTAGTGGAATAATTTGCTAGATTTCTTTTAGGGGCTTATAATATAGGCCGCACCATTTCTGCTGATATTGCTCTAAAATCTTACTAACATGAAAATAACAAAATGACCACATATAATGGGCACTCTCTTTCTGTGTTGGGCTCCTAAAACAGCCTTCACTTTCTGTAATAAGCTGTTTGTGCTCACTTCATTTTGCTTCATTTTATTTTTGTCACCTTCAGTGTTATCTCTGTATACTATAATGGAACGATGCTGAATCAGACAAGCTGTAATTTTTATTGCAAACATATCTCAAGGCAAATCTATAAGCTGAACTTGATATCAGAAACGAAGCTAGAGAGAAAATGCCTTTGTTCTAAGTTACAAAAAGCTCTGCTATTCTGAATCTGAAGTATGTTGAAAATAAAATGCTTTTTTTTTCTGACATCAGGAATTTCACCTAGGCAATAGATTGAGATATCCCTTTAAAATTTTTGTGTACAAATCAGTTTCACCAACAATATTGTTTGTATTATAGTTTGATATTCAAGTTGTGAAGCTAATATTTAAAGCGATGTTATGCCACAGGAACCTGATTGTATTAATGATCCCAACATTTTATTTCAATTTTCTTTTCATGGAAAGCTAAGAGGAGTGTTCATTTATTTAACAGTATTTTGCTGGTATGACTGTTTGGGCAAACAAGTTATATACTTAAGTATAAGCATATAAAAATTTGAGCCCTAGATTATGATCTCACCACCACCAAATTGAAGATTTCTGAGAATTATAGGAGAGATTGATCGCTGAATCTTCTAAGGAGCAAGTGTCCAATCCAATCCTAAGAGGGTCTCTGATGAACCATGACATGGCCGTTAGCCATGAGACCTTTGGTTCTAGAAGGTACAAGCTCTATACATCTACCTAGAATAGGCCCTTGTATTTATAGATATTGAACAAATGAGGCCTGCTTTTATGATCTGTATTAATGTTTCAGTTTTCCCCCTGTGCTACCACTTTACAGCATCCTCCACTACAGAGTGGGAACTATGTTAAAATGTTAATGTTTTGAATAATTTCACTCCTACTGGAAACAGCAGTAAGTGAGAAGCAAATTGTATTTGGAAATAAAATTCTTACTGCTATACCGTTAACAAGATAAGCATGGTATGTCCCAGGAACATATGCCCTGTCACTCTGGTATTAGCTTGCACCCTGGCTACGTGTAGCTCACTTTTATTCCTGATGTACCCTTCAATTATAATTTATACTGTCATTTTATCTTTTTACAAGTGGTAGAATTGGTTTAATAGTTGTAGAATATTCCAGCAAATTTTTCCTTGGAAATAGTGATTTTTAAATGCATCATTTTATGCAGCCGAAGTATTGAACAAAAAGGAATTATCATGGTAGTTTCCATAGAGTAAATAATACACATCAACAACCCAAAACTCAATAAAACATAGACCAAATTCTGCTGAAAGTTGTCATTATAAATTGGCACAAATCCTCCTCTAGCAAACACAGCCCATAATTTATCGTTTGCGATACAGTTTTGCACATGATGGAAACTGGTGACCTGCAAGAGTATTCCCAATACCCTTGCCCAATGCTAGTGTTGTTTGCAAAGGCCCCCAGGAAGTCATTACCAAACTCCATCTAGAAACAGACCAAAAAGGTCAGAGGTATACATATGACCCATGTTTGTGGAGGACTGTGAGTATTCTTATTGAAAATACGGTGTAGTGTTCCAAAGCATCTGCCGCCGTTCTCAGACGTTACTGAGTTTGAATATGCCAGCGTCTACTTTTGAAGAGCATGCCAAAGACACATTTGTTCCTAAAACTCAGTCATTAGAGTTGAGCACCTACACAAATTCAATGAGTTTCAGTGGAACAGCAATTGGTTCTCCAAGTTAGAAAGTATAGAGTGGCTCAGAAACTGAAATGTGAGGAAACTGACTACCAATATAGAGATGAATAACCTAGGACAAGCTAATACTATCTATAACGTAGAGACTGATTTGACAATCCTGAGCATTATTCTGTAAAAGAGGAAGCTGAAAATATATTTAGCTTTCCAGAATCATGAATTTTATTCTATTTGAGTACAAATAGAAATCTCTCTCTCTCTTTCTCTCTCTCTCTCTCTCACGCGCGCACACACATACACACACATGCACACACGTGCATGCGTGCATGTACACACACACATGCACACACACAAAATTAAAGCCAATAGAGCAAAAGAAATATAGAAATAAGAGACAACAGCTTGCAGTGAAAATACTATAGCCTTTGAAGCCGGTCAGATCTACATCTGAAACCTGTCTGATCCCTCACTGACTGTGCCAAGGAGCAAGTTTTTTTATACTCTCAACCTGTTTTTTCATCTATAAAATGGGTGAAATATTTCTGAAAATGGGGCATTGCTGTGAGAATAACGTATGTTAGGTGCTAAATGTATGGGGTAGCCAATTGTTAAATAGTGACTATCATAAATACTAATTTTTAAGTAGTACACTTGACCTCAAAATATGCTGTTTATGCAAAATATAATTATTTTATAAAAATGTTCAAGCATTGTCACCTAAAAGAACATAAGCTTAAGGGTTATAACATATTGAACTTTTTAAAAACTAAATGATTATATGATTATCTATCAATCTAATTTAATTTGTCTTTGCTTTAATGGCATTACTAGCTTTGTTTTTGCTCTTTTCACAGTGAAGTTCACACAAAAAAGCATTGCCTTACCACTAGAAATTTTCATTTTTCTTTTAGTAATGATTTTGCCTTCGAATGGTTTGTGGAAGTGCCATATACCCTAACAACAATTCTCCTTGTATATTACATTTTAATATTAAGAAACCACAGAATAAGAAAGCAATTTGACATCTATATTATATTATTCTCTGCTTTCTATAGCTTTATTTCCAGTTGAAAGTGTTCAGTACTCTTTCTTGTGTCTTTCTTCTCTCCTAATAATGAAGATCTCTCCAGGACCTTTCCAAGCAAACAGACATCCCTTATGGCACAGTACTGGACTCTGCCGTGTATGAACATGTCCGGATGAAAGGAATGAATCCTTTTGAAAGGGACAGCATGTATTCCCAAATGTGGAGGATGATCAACAGAAGCAATGGATCAGAGAATAACGTTCTGGAATCCCAAGCAGGCATTCAAAAGGTACTGGTCATAGTTCTTCATTTAGAGTCCACTATTTTGTCTCCCATATTGAAATTGCTACATTGAGATTGGTTTATTTATTTTTATTTTAACTCCGACATAGAGTTTGTAGTTAAATTATACCTGCTATCGATTTACAGAAGATTTGAGTTGACACATTGCTTAAGCAGAAGGAATTCAAAGCCTTCTGTGCTGTGTCTACTGGATCTGTCTCCAATGGAATTCCAAAGCTAGAAAACATAAGCTAGTACATGAAGACCGAAAAGGTTTTTACAAGTCCCGTTCCAAATATCATTAAGATTATCCAATTCTTTCAGATGACTTTGGGGTACTTCCTATCCTGCATTTGTTTTTAGATGAAAACCTTATCTTTACTTATGATGTGGTGGGTAAAAGTTAATCTTGTCACTAAATAAGGTGCCTACAAATGTCTATTTCAAAAGTGAAAATCTTTATCTTTCTTTAAATAACCATCATTTAGAAGATATTTTACCAGGGGAAAAAAAAAGATTATGAAGCATCCCTTTGTGTAAAACATGAAGCTAGTTTTTATTCTGGGCTGTGGTTTATAAAAACATATACAGAAGTAATCTTGTCTTCCTCAAGCCCTATCAATCTGCATGGAAGAACTGAATGATTGTTGTTTAAAATTATCCCAGTGGCTAGCACGGTGAAAATCACAATGTTTGACATTCAGTAAATAATTGTGGGGTGAATGAATGAATGAATGGATGTCAATCACAGAAACAAGTGTGGTATACACTTTTTCTCTATAACCTTCAACAGCAGAGTAATTTGGACCCCATGTCTGAGTTCCTTGTTGGAGAACATTTTGATGGCTATAGAAAATATTCTGCTGCAGGTTCTAGCGTTATTTTGTGCCTTTTCATATGATGTCCTTTATCTGCTGCTGCTATTATTATGCTTCCCTAGAGTGAACCTAGTTGATATCATTATTTTAAAAGCTAATGATGCTGATATAAACCTCTTTCCAAGTACTAATGATGCATTAGGATGTGAATGTCCTTGAAATGTTAGCAATGGCCTCTAACTCCTTCACCCTTATTATATTAAAGTCCTTTCCCAGGACCCAAGTATTGATCCTAAAATCCACTGGCTTCTAGAAGTTCGACAGTTACTGGGAGGAAGTGGAGGGTGGGAGAGAATCATTGAGTAAGTGGACTTATATGTTGTCTGGGGGAAATGAGAGGGTAGACATTTTAGGATTTACTAGATACACATAGGATATTAATGAATTTAAACCTCAGAATAAGAATACTAAGTGGTTTTTAGGAGAGTTCCTTTCCTTCATACTATTAATTGTTAAGAATAATTTTGTTTTCTTGAGGATGATTACATTCATAGGTTATATTTCTATTCTACATTAGAAGCCAAAGCTCTCCACACTTTACAACCTCTTTCTATACCATATCATTTCAGATAACATTCACTTTTTTTTCTCCAAGAAGACATAAGGATACTCAGAAAATATTTTAAGAAATATGTACTCACTCATTCATCATTTATTTATCCATTCTTTCATACAATATTTGGGAAGTAACAATTCTGTACCAAGCAGTGATCTAAGAACTGTAGAGAACTCCACCACAGAGAAATGATCATGGGATCTGTGAAATATAGTCTGGTGAGAGAGAAAGAAAAGAAAACTAAAACACATGATCAAACAAAATGACTTAAATTATGATTAATGCTATGGAAAAAAAAAACTCGGGTGCTCTTATAGAAATTAAAGAGAACATCTACTTGAAGAAGAGTGATCAAGTATATTTCCCTGAGGAGATAAAATATTAGTGATGGCCTGCCTGATCAGGAGCTGTTCACGTAGAAGAGAGGGTGGCAAGGCATCCAAACAAAGCATAGCCTAGGCAAAAGCCTGAGGGTACATTCAAGAAGCCAGTTTAAAATCAACATGAATTGGGGCACCTGGGTGGCTCAGTCGGTTAGGCAGCGGACTTCGGCTCAGGTCATGATCTCGCGGTTTGGGAGTTCGGGCCCCTGTCGTGTAGGGCTCTGGGCTGACGGCTCAGACGCTGGAGCCTCCTTTGGATTCTGTCTCCTTCTCTCTTTGCCCCTCCCCACTTGTGCTCTGTCTCTCAAAAATAAATAATTGTAAAAAAAAAAAGTTAAAATCAACATGAACTGGAACATGTCAAATGAGAGAGCATGGAAGGAGGGATAGTAACAAGGGACAGATGATGAAGGACCTGTTGCCCTTAGGAATTCGGCTTTTATTTGGATGGGAAAAAAAATGCTACTAAAATAGGGGAATGTTGTGATTCATTATTACCTCTCAAGAAGGTCTCTATAGCTGATGTATGGGAATTGGGTAAGAGTATGCAAAGAGTATAAACAGTGAGACAATAAGAGACTCATAAATTTCAGAGGTAGCCAGTCAAGTAGATACATGTAGTCAAAGCCTTGTTTTATTCTTATGTTCTTACTCTCTCTCTCTCTCTCTCTTTCACACACACACACACACACACACACACACACACACACATGCACGCACAGCTCATATACCTTCCATTCTTTGTAGTTAATACAAATTGGGTACACTCCCCATATCCTGGCATTTCCAAAATAAATCATAAAATTATAAGATATGAAATGGCACATAGAAGCTGTAAACGGTCATGTATGTATTAAGATATACATATATATATTCCAAAGTCTTCAGAATTGTTTAAGAAAACATCTCTTTTTCAAAGTGTGTACACACAGTTTCCTACATTTTCTCTTTTTTCTTTTTTACCTTTATGTCTTTTAGCCATAAAGAATTTAATTTGACAGTTGTGTATATGTAAAGAGAAAGCATAAATATCCATATGGAGAAAATTTCAATCAGAGATTCTGTGAAATAAAAATGTTTTAGACTAGGCTATTGATAATTTTCCATCCTGTGCTGAGAAGATTGGTTAATTATTTTTTAGACTTTGCTGTTTCTTTTTCTTTAAATATATAACTATTGCATCACCTTTAAACTTGGGTTAGTGTTTCTAATGCTGTTACTGAATGTCACACATTTAAAAAAAAATCTATTATGAAAAATGGAAAGAACACTATTCCTAGGAAAAAAAAAAAAAAACCTATCTGCTTTCCTTTCCTGCTTCTTCTAGGTCTTAGGTGTATAGTTTTGGAGAAGTACCTTGGCTTCTCTAAGACTTATCTACTCATCTATACAATGATCACAGTGTGGGAATTAAAAACCTGGACTTTGCAGGCATGTCAACCTGGGTTTGAATACAGTTCATTTTTTTTTTAACTAAAATGTGTAAATGTGTCTAATTACTTAAAACTCTCTGGACCCCAGGATTTTCATCATGCTGATAAGAATTCCTACTTCATGTGGTTTTTGTCATTATTTAAAAAATACATATATATGTAGAAGCATCAATAAATAGTAGGATTAGAGCAATAAACTCATAAAATGATCCTTAAGATTACCTGAGGAATGTAAATGTGACTAATTTGTAACTACAAAGCTTTATTATTTAGTATCTTCTAAGGTTAAGTTAAAATTATACTGTAATGAAAACAATAATTAATGAAAGAAGTAAAGAAGAACAATTTCTATTCCGTGGTAGTCTACTGATAAAGACAGTTTATGAGTTTAAAATTGCAAATCATGTCACCTAGCATTATACCATATTCATTCCATTTTCTGATTTACTAGAGGGGTAGTGAAGAATGTCCTTATGAATTCATAACGGAAAATACCAAAGTGAAAATTACTTGTTGTATATACATTCTTCTAACCAAAATCAGAGTTAGCTGAAAATTGATTAGACAGAAAATAGGTAATAACAATAGAATGTCTTTTGGTTCAGTTTGCTAGGTCTTGGCCAGCTTCTCTTAAAACACAAAACCAACCAACCAAAATATAATAACCTTCTCACCTGCTAAAGCTCACTGGGAGCTTATAAGACTGAGAACTATGAGACATGAAATGTGGCTGTGCATTCTTCCTTGGGCAACTGGTCTTGCACATCCCACACAGCAGCTTCCTCTTCTCGGTCATCGGTTTCTAATTTGTTCAGGCAGAAAACACCGTAGAGGTCTTCTAGGTCAATTTTCCACAGAAGGCCAAACTTCTTCTACAGTATCTTTGACAAGAATTCATACATATAGTAACTGCCTTCCAGGAAAGCCTGAATCACTGTGCAAACAATCCTAATTATAACTTTAAATAGAGACCATTAATGTCTCAGCTTGTGTTTGTTCTTAATAGTGCTACTAGTCTCATTAAGTTTCTCTCACTCGAAGGTAGAACTTGATCTCTTCTCACATCGTTCTGCTCATACCAAAGAAAGCTGTATAAATGAGGATTAAGTAAATGAGTTCTGATCTGCTATTCTTGGGAGACATTCACCTGTAACAGACTAGCCTGATTAAACTGGAACAAATTTGTTTCCATCTTCCTCTTCTCAGGACTTTTTGCATAAATAGAAAAAATGTATATGAAAAATATAACTGAAACTTTTAGTGCATTCATTCAACAATTATTTATTGAGAACCTTCTATGTATCAGCCAGTATTTTGGTTGCTGGAGTGAAAATAAATGAAAACAAAATGCCTCCACAAAGTTCACACCCTAGTGTAAGAGGCAGACAATAAACAAATAAAACGTGTTGTGTTTCAGTAGTGATGTGTTAAGGAGAAAAAGTAGAAAGAGGGAAAAGGGAGACAAGAAGGAGATGGTCTGCCTTGTTAAATCAGATGTCCAGGGAAGGCTTCACTAAGAAAATGACATTGTGGGGGTGGTTCCTGAGTGGCTCAGTCGGTTGAGGTCTAACTCTTGATTTCAGCTCAGGTCATGATCCCAGCCTCACCTCAGGCTCCAACCTGAACATGGAGCCTGCTTAATATTCTCTCTCTCTCTCTCTCTCTCTCTCTCTCTCTCTCTCAATCTTTATCTCCCTCTGCCCCTCTCCCTTCCCTCAAAAAAATTTTTAATAAAGAAAATGACATTGGAATAAAGT